CAAGAGAATTATTAACTTTAAACGTCAGTTCATTTAAATAAATAAACCCTCATACTACAGCAGAATGGGAATATAATGGAATTTGGCAAGTGGCTTTCCACAAAGGGTGGGGTGGGGTGGGGTGGGGGGTGTTCTGCATTCCAGTCCCCTCCCACTTTCCCTGTCAGCTGATATTTGAACATTGCAGACTTTCCTACAGATCTGACTTGGGTCGAGCAGGGGGGAGGTGGAAACTGAGAGATCTTATACAACTACAACTTGCATCAAGGGTACGAGGATAAAGTCCCGTGACCATCATCGGTGACAAGTAAAGGTCATTTAAAAGCACTCGCACATGAGGATACCAGCTAGATCAAGATTATGCGATTCATAGAGGTCTAAATGACATAATGCATAACATACCTGAATCGCTGCCACTGCTGCTGGAGCTGTTAGGTGGAGTGTCCAGGACCAGCATGGGCTGCGATGTGGCAACCTTGCTGGTTTTGCAGGACTCAGTGAGGGGATAAGGGAAGACCACAGAGGGATCGATGCATTCTGATGCAGAGGTGCTCAGATCCTGCAAATAACTTGCATTGAGTCGATTCGAGCTGCTGTCAGAAATCAGTTCCTTCCTCGCAGCATGCAGGGACTTCAGTCTCTCGGAAACCACTTTCTCCAACTTGGCAGCGGCGGAAAAGCCGCTCCACATGCAGTCCTGGATGATGATGGACTTGATGAAGGACTGGGAGTAGTCCGCGTCGCAGATGAAGCTCTGGTTAACCACGTCGTCTCCCAGGAACTCGCTGACCATCTCCAGCTGTTCGGCGGTGGAGAGCGACTGTCTCCGGCTGGGCGAGAGGGGTGGTGTGGGCAGAAGCTCGAATTTCTTCCAAATGTCCTCGCTGGGAGCTGGAGGTTGAGTCTGTCCTTGCTGGTGGTGATAGAAATCCTCATCTTCGTTGTCAAAGTAGAAATATGGCTGGATGGAGTCGTAGTCGTAATCGTAGTTTTTATACGCCAAACTCGCACTCACCGGCATTTTGACACTTGTGGGAGAAATACAACTTGAAATTAACATAGTGCATATGCAACGTTCACCTAAAGTGCACATATTTAGACTACGCATGACATGCATGGGGTGAGGAAATGAGGTAAATAATGCAACTAAAAGACAGCATGTGTAAAAAGGGAGAGAATGAATCCCAAAGCGGGGTTAATACCAAAACATTTCAAAGCATCCCTGATTCTACTGTTGTTGTTGTTTGAGCGTGCAACATGCAAAAGAAAAGATAATCGCACAAAAGAAAATATATTTGCATACCATCACAAACGCATGCTGCTCTTTAAGTCTAAAAGATGCATGCAACATCAGATACCGGATACCTACCGTGTATTTAACAAATGCAGCTTCAGAATGGCTTCTTTCGAGACGCAATGCAATGAAAAGACAATAAAAAATAAGGAGCAAGAATTAAAATCCAACAGATTACTCCGGTCGCTTGACGCATAAGTGGAATCAGAGTCGCGGTCAAATGGAAAGTGATGTGAAATGTAATGAAGGCTGCGCGCTTGTACACCTCTCAGAGGCTGGACAGACTGATCGCTTGTGTGACAGTGGCAGGATGAATAAGTTCTGGAGCTCCCGCGAGCTCAAGCTGCGCCCACTGACGTATGACTGCGCTAGTAAAATTTCCCGCCAAACGAAAACACGGTTGTTTGCGTATTAAATCGACCCGTTAGGCTCACACATAAAATGCAAAACCCAATGTCTTATTTAAAACCATAATTAGTCTTTATTTGCTTAGCAGATATGCTGCATCTATCTCTGAATTCGATAAATATGGGACTATTTTTTCGTGGAAGGACACATTTAGCAGAAGCCGGTGGGTGGGTTGGCTTTGACGTCATTGGAGTGGCGGAGCGTTTATAGTCAAGCATTGACAGCTCACTTGAAAAAGGCAGATTTTTTTTTTTTTTACTTTAGTAGACAAGGATACAACAAAATCAGATCTTATAGATTTCGGTCTTATTATGTTTTTAATACCACAACAGAGAGGCAAAATGGGTTGAAAGAAAACACCTTTTTGTTATTTTAAATAGAAACACTGCACAGCAATAAAACACAGAGCAGTATACTTCTGTTTATAAATGTATTTCTTTATTTTCTTTCATCATATATTTTGTGTGCTGACAAAAAGGTGTTTCTTTTTATGACTGTGACAAAACATATGGATTATTTATGTTGCTGCAACCTAACAATAAATAAATGTAACCATTATCATACAATTAGCATGTCAAAGTCATATAGAGTCTTAGTTTTAGTAAATGTCCTGGGATGTTGCGAGATGCCTGAAATTGTTAGGTTATTTTATAATAATATAGAATATAATCTAGTATTGGCTTTGCCATTATGTGGTTTTGGAGACAACAAGTTCAGAGCCATTGCACTAAATACAATGTGTTGGTGTATGGAAATTTGTTTTCAATGAATGAAACAACGCATCCTTCAGACATATGAATGGTGAAATAATTATATAAATGATAAAGTTTTTTTTTCTAATAGTGCTGTTAAGTCATGGGGGAAAATATCATGAAATGGTTCCACTTCTAACTTAAGTGAAGCAAATATAGCTAATACACTAACTTATAGTTCAGTATTACAGTGTTATTTAAACATTTGAGTTTAACTAAGTAGTTTATCCTTGGAGTTATATATTGGGGTATAGGCCTACACATGTTTCATTGAATGTGGAATGTGAAAAAAATATATAGAGCACAGATGCTTTTTTAAATAAAATGAATGTCATATTCTAAATATCGTTGTACTTAAGGATATTTGAATACAATTAACAGAAGACTTTTCTCCTAAGCAATGGTCAGACTAGACAACAGGATGGTTCATATATAATACGTTGGTATGTGGCGCCCTCTGCTGTTAACTACTATAGTGATCACGGTGATCAACGTTCAGTTGATTTGCACCAAATATAGCCTACCTTCATCAACTGCCTTCCATTGAAAATAATCTATATAAAATTATACATAAAAATGTAAAGCTCATAGGACGAAGTCAGCAAAAGAGGGACATCAGCGAAAATGGGACAAATACGCTTTTCGGTGTAGTGTGTTTATGTTTTAAATTTCAATAATGGTGGGTGGTCTTGAAATGTTGTAATGTAGGCTACTTAATTTGATTATCAACATTTGATTGGTCAAGTAAAACCACGTGGGCGTGGTTACACTCAAGTGCTGGAATGTGTGAGAAAGCACGCCTATAAGGGTTTTTCAATCTACAGTATATACATCTGTTCATGTGCTAATTAGGCTACATTTTATGCAATGATGTACATGTTTCTTTGATCTATTTTTTTTAAATCATGTTTTATTTACTGTACCAATTTTTACCTTTAACGTGTTAGATAAAAGCTAAAGTGGGATATCCTATTAAATAAAAGATAATACATAATGTGAGAAATTGTTTTGTTTTACAGAAAATGTCCCAAAGCTATGGGCAGAAAGGCAAAAAAAAAAGGTAAAACATGTAAGCCAAACAGAAAAGAGAGCTATATGCTAAGATGTGAAGAAAGTATGAAAGGGGCTATCAATGAGCCAAGGCCAAGGCTGTGTTCCAAAATTCACCCTTGAAAAAAGAGTGAAAGGTGTGGTGAGTGGCTCACTGTGAATGGCAGAAAACCATTTTTGTCAGAGTCATCTGAGAAGGAACTGGCAAACCAAAAATATAGGCTACAGCTTTTGAATATGCAAAAGCTAATGGAATTAAATGGTTTTCTGAAACTAAAAACAAAGCAGGCTATTACTGGTTCCAAAACTAAAAAAAAAAAAAAAAAAAAAAAAAAAAAAATTATTATTATATTTAAATTGGTTTTAAGTTATCTGGCCCCTGGAAAATCACTGAGGACCCCTGGTGGGCAACGGCCCTCCGGTTGAGAACAACTGCGTGTCTAGTGTGTTTATAAAGTTATTCTTTTACACTTTGAAAAATATATATTGATGAGGAAAAAAAAGATGTGTACAATATCCTGTTGTAAGCAATTAAATTATCCAAGCTAGATGCAATTATACAAACTAGATGAAAATATCTGTCCCAATTTACCTGAAAACGGCTGTAGAACAAAAATTTGTTCTTATTATTTTTTATCTGTTTTTTTTAAACACCCATTTTCCTTCAAAAATCAGTTGGAGATACAAGAGACGTCGAGCATGTGTTTAAAACATTAATAGTGTAGGTAGAATAGATTTATTTGTATTTAATACACATTTTACCAAAAAGTGTCATAATCTTGCTAACTTCACCCTATGTATGATCATGGATTTAGAGAGAAAATATAGGAGATGCTGCAATTGAGATGCTTCTTTATAGTAAAAGGGATGTTGTTAACCCGTTGCTAAAAAGAATCTAGAAACGTTATATCCTAAAATTAACAATTTCATTATGTGGCGTGCTCTTATTTGGGGAAAAGTGGCCTAATACCAAGTGTTACAATTGCCATCAATTGCCCCTGTAAGAACACTGTATTAATTGACTATAATCAGTGTTATTCTAGTCTTTGCAAATGATCTAATCTTTCTCAATGCCAAACAGAAAGCTATTGATTAGGTGTGGGGGTGGTGTTAGCAGGTGAGACTGGGATGAGATAGGGGATGAGATTATTAGGATTAAGCAACCAGGTAGCACCTTTAAAACGAGGGAGGGGGTAATAATTTGGCAGTGAGTCTCTCCATATGACATCCAGCAGAGGGCAGCAGAGATTAAAAACAATATAAAGGTAACTTCTCATTGTTTAAACCATGTCCGTTGACATTTGATTCTAATTGCATTCTTCTAACACACAGACAAACTAATATAGCCTACTATAAAAAATTATAATTAAAAAATAATAATAAATCAATCTTCACCCTTCCTGGTGCAACCCCCTGCCCAGTGCCCACAGACTGGCGCGAACAGCTGGAGTAGGGCTTGGTTTTGTGACGCGTCCCACGTGTGTTCTACACGAAAATAAATAACACGCGCGAGCGCGGACAGCCGACATTCCTTCACCCTGTGAGACACCAAAATGCTGCATTTCATCGGTCTTCTACATCAGATTCAGCACTTTAATTCGCGGGTGAATGTCGTTATGATATAATGCGCAATGTTTGGATGACCTTCTCATCGGAGGCGCTGGGAATGTGTCTCCAGTTTTTCCAGTTTGATTTCAGGCACCTGGAAGCCGCAAACCATAAAGCAACTCTTCAATGCAGCCCGACACGGACGAATGCTTAAGTATTATTATCATCATTCATCATAATGGACTGTCTATCACGCACTGCGTACTGGCCTCTTATTCGCTTTCTGCTGCCACTAGCCATTACTAATATAGCCATAGACTTCGGAGAACAGGTGAGATATTATGACATTATAGATTTGAATTTGTACAACCTGCTATTTTGACATAACTGTATTCGTTTGTTACTTGAGTGAACTTCCCCTTTAAATGACGCTATTTATGGCGTTGCTCGCTGATAGAAATGAATGGGAAAAAAAGATTGTATTTCTCCGCTACATGTTCTGTAAGGGTGCGTTAAATACGAAAATGTTAAATTGGGTTTAATGTAAATACGTTAAACTTTTGTGAAGATGCATGAAGGTCAGGTTGGGTCCAATAAGTGGGTTAGTAGGCTAGTATTTTTCATGAATCTCATTTAGATGTGGCAATGGTGTGGCGTAGTGGTCAAAGTCCTGTGCTCGAAATCTAAAAGGTTTTAGGATCAAATACCACAAGAGTTGACCGTTAGTGCTCAAGGGTAAGGGCACAAATAAACAAACGATTGAAGGTAGATTTTAGAAATTGAACCGTTAGTTGTTTTTATTATCACACAACCAAAACAATGGTTTGGTGTTTTTGCATGTTAACTTTTTATTGGTCTAGTTTAATAAACTGCATTTATTTAGTTAAGTGTTTTTGTAGATTTCAAGCTATTGATAATCTAATAATCCCAGTCTCTTTGGATAACTAAATTATAACACCTTTTTGTCCAGATGCCTTTTGTTAGGCATCAATCTCTCTCTCTCTCTCTCTCTCTCTCTCTCTCTCTCTCTCTCTCTCTCTCTCTCTCTCTCTCTCTCTCTCTCTCTCTCTCTCTCTCTCTCTCTCTCTCTCTCTCTCTCTCTCTCTCTCTCTCTCTCTCTCTCTCTCTCTCTCTCTCTCTCTCTCTCTCTCTCTCTCTCTCTCTCTCTCTCTCTCTCTCTCTCTATATATATATATATATATATATATATATATATATATATATATATATATATAACTGCAAGCCGCAATTAACAGCCTCCAGGTGCTTAAAAAGCTTTAAAGGGTTAGTTCACCCAAAAATGAAAATTATGTCATTAATGACTCACCCTCATGTTGTTCCAAGCCCGTGAGACCTCCGTTCATCTTCGGAACACAGTTTAAGATATTTTATATTTAGTCTGAGAGCTTTCTGTCCCTCCATTGAAAATGTATGTACGGTATACTGTCCTTGTCCAGAAAGGAAATAAAGACATCATCAAAGTAGTCCATGTGACATCAGTGGGTTAGTTGGAATGTTTTGAAGCATTGAAAATACATTTTGGTCCAAATATAACAAAAACTACGACTTTATTCAGCATTGTATTCTCTTCCGGTTCTGTTGTATTCAATATTGACTCATTTGGATAAATATTAGGTAGGCTACAGTCTACATGTAAATTGTTCTCAAGAAAAAAAAATATCTCACATAATGCTGTAAACATACAGAGAGAAATTAAATATAATGGGGTTTTCATTATAATAACAATTATCCTATGTAATGACAAGTAAACATATAATAAATATGTAATATAGTGCACATTTTTAGCAAAATACTCCTCGCTATTTTTTTCTAGTCAACTAATGTGCTGGTCATTAAATGGCTTTCCTGAGGTAAATGTAACGTTCTGTGACATAACTGTTCTCCTGCAGTTTTATTGACCTCTTTCCGTGTTTGGAAAACACTGATTGATCGATATTATGTATGAGGCACATACATTTCGGTAAGTTGTACTGTATCTTTAAATAAAAAGTAACAGATGATCGGTTTACTTGAACTGAGGCGCAGCGATCTGTCACAATCATAGCTGCCAACTCTCACGCATTGGCCGTGAGACACCCGCATTTGATTTGTTTCACACGCTCACACGCCACACTCCCGATTTCTCACGCTGAAGTGTCAACCCGGGCGGTCAAATGCCTGGAAGATGAGTTTATCTATATATCTACCTGTTGAGCCACTCGTGATCGACTAGTTATACCGCAAATTCGTTAAAAATCTCCCGTTATCTAGAGCGAGCGTGCATGCGAGACAGAGATTGTGCTCCAAACCGCGTAGAGCGAGCGAGAGACCTTGCGCGAGCGAGAGACCTTGCGCGAGCGAGAGACCTTGCGCGAGCGAGACCCCCCCCCCCCCCCCCCGTCAACAAATCTCACTCGTCTCTCATTTCTGTCTTGAAACAGATCACAATAGTCATATGCATGATTTAATATGAAGCGTCCGTAACGGTCACGTCCGTAACGCATTATTATGGTTGTTCAGAGCAAAGTAGTGGGATGAATTGTCTATCCTAATTAGCATAAACATAATTTAGCTTTGTAAATAAAGTTTCAAGTTATTTGCATTTATAATTGTCATATTAAATAAACTAAACCTTTAAAACGTTATGGACGTGACAGTGCACTGAAGCGTCAAGACCTCTTTATTATAAATTCAACAGGCAGTGCTGTTATGACCAAATTAGTATTTTTTTTTTCTCAGGCATGCCTCCATCTTTCTGCAAAATGCTTACTGTTAAAATAAAGTTTAAAAAGGGGGGTCTTTGATACCTTTTTTTGAAAGCATGAAATATGGCTGGTTGAAAATGTAATTTAAGCATTGTTGCTCACCTCATATCTGGTGGATAAACAAGGCAATTTTCTTAAAATTTTTGTTAAAGCACATTCATACAGTATATTAAAGACCTAAATGGACAACTTAAAAAGGGTTTTGTTCTTTTGGTTAAAACTTTATTTTTTCATGGTAAAGATGACCTTTGCATGGAATTGCCCTGTCCTCTTTGCTCGACGATTTTTCTCTGTGTCAGAGCGTGTGAAAAGTGTCAATTGCGTAAAGCGCCTTTCAGACAGGTCGCGGAATGCGCGGCGCTGGCCGCTGGGTTCAACGTTGCCCTTCAGATACAACGCGATTTGCTATTTTGCAAATAAAAAGTTTAACTATTTTGAACTTTGACCCCGGCGTGCTTTGGTCGGCGCAGCAACAAAACGTCCCCGCGCATATTCCGTGTCCTGTCTGAAAGCTGAATGCGTGAGAGTTGGCAGCCCTGCGGGGGATAAATCGTCGGCAGCGTTCCTCCTTCCGCCATGCTTCTACTCCATGTGAGGATTGTTTACATTAGACTAGAGTGCGCACTGCCGCCGCATGCACACAGTGCTTATACATGTGGGGATTGTTTACATCAGAGTGCGCACGTGTTTTGCGCAGCATATGCAGTGTTTAAGCGGTTGATGGAAAATAAGCTAATGGACGTTCTAAAAGTCTAAATTCGAATCTATTATTTTTCACGGTATTTTGAAGTGCCCGCGATAACAATATCGTGCATATTCATTACCGGGATTTATCGCATTACCGAATACCGGCACATGTCTAATATACACACACACAGACAGATATAAATGAAAGTCAAAAGCACATTTTTAGTCATACCTGGAAACAAATCCTGTGCAAATAGATTATATGGGCCATTCAATAGAATTGGTTCAAAGTTAGAGTTGGAAACATCTTGAAAAGAAAATTGTCTTTTTCCATAAATCTCTTATAAAGTATTATTTTTTAAAGTATGCAAATACATTTTATTATACATATTTCAAAGTTAAGGATTCATTATTTTGATATAGCCTAGCTGGAACAAACACTATAACAGTTGATAAGTTTATTTTTGACAAAACATACTATATATTTAACATATGAGCAGAAACTGCTAACAAAAGCTTAATTGATGTCTATTTTAGAGTTAAAACTTTATAATCTATCCTAAACTAATCACACACACACACACACACACACAGAAACATGATTCAAATTTAAACAGTAGGCTATTTTTGCGTTTACAGATACAAACGTTATTCATCGCGATTAGAACAAAGCACAAGAATAAAACACTTACAGTTCAGCTCGCTCCTCGAAGTGAAAATAAACCAGCACTTGTTCTGAGGTAGGTAAATGTCCCAGGATTATTCCTCACAGCCGCGCAAGACGACAGTACATTAATCTGACTAAATATAGTGTGTTTACAGAGTTTATATGCGCGTTTACACGTCTCAATGTGTTGCTTCAGATCATTAGCGTTTGAATAGCACGCGCTCTCCGTGGGCGTGTCACATTAGCGGAATAATGAGATGCGAGAACGATAATGAGAAGGCTGATACCTCTCTCTTTTTATATAGATTACATAAACAGGGAATATTTATTTTAGTTTTAAATTATATAATTTAAAAGTACAAACTTAAATGATCATAAACATATATTGCTCATGTCTGGGTGAATAGTATTAGCTGAGTTTTTTTTAAGTTTAGAGACGTGCTCCAGAAAAAAAGTTCACGGACACGGAGAGGCAGAACGCACACCCTGTTTATTTTCTTTATTTTACAAAAGCACAATATTTTAATTCGATTGTAGGTGGGCACATAAAAAAGTAGACATTTAACAGTTTTTTTTATATGTTTCATAACTCTGTATGACCAGAAATTGTTCTAAACATCTTTTCTGACCATAATATAGGATCGCAAAGCCAGGAGAAACATTTGCAGAAACACGATGTAGTCCGCCATTGTAATTGTTATGCTTGAAGTTGGCGCAAGCGTTTCTAGTTTTTTTTAAAGTTTTTTTTTTATTGAAAACATTATGTAAGCAAAGAAGAAAACAGTCACAATATAGAACAAATAAATGGAAAGAAAAAAAAGACAAGACATGGGTATATAACATATCATAAAAGATTACATATCAAAGGAAAATATTAAAAGACTTACATATTTCAATTGTTTTTAAAGCCTTCTTGGTACACGAGTTAGAGATAATCCCAAAGTAATGTTGTACTTGCAAGCGTTTCTAGCTAAGACGTATGGCTTGGCGACGTACACAGTGACGTAACGACGTCGTTCGCTGGGCGCTCTAGTCAGTGGAAAAACAAACAGGTTCTGAGAAGGTTCGCAAGTTGAACCAACTCCGAACCAACTTTGAACCAGCACCAGTTCCGAACCAGTTCTTTTTTGGTGGAAAGGGGGTAAAAGAGCATGCAAAGAGAAGTCCAAATTAAACATGATTTAATGAATAGTAAATGTAAGTACACATTGATGGCCTAAGACACGAAACGAGCGGTTTGTGTGAGAAAACGAACAGTATTTATATCGTTTTTACCTCTTGTAACCACAGCCACGTCCAAGTGATCTGAGGGCGCGGGCGCTTCGGTCTGTGCGTTACAAGAGGTAAAAACGATATAAATACTGTTCGTTTTCTCACACAAACCGCTCGTTTCGTGTCTTAGGCCATCAATGTGTACTTACATTTACGAGTCATTAAATCATGTTTAATTTGGACTTCTCTGTGCATGCTCTTTGAGGTGGTAACCATAGACCTGAGTATACCATAGACTATGACTGACAGACAAAAACGGTTTGACCTAAAATGATCAAAATTGAAACTTCTGCGGAAACAAAGACACCTACATCTTGGATGCCCTTGAGGTAAGCTAAAACATATCAAAAATTTATTTCAAAGTGAACTATCCCTTTAAGTCTATTTTTCTGCTATGTGAAAAAAATCTGCCAAAACGCACGGGTGCGTTCTTGGTCCCCAGAGGGTTAAAGGCCTTAAACAGTTATCGAGATTGAACCAAAAACCTCCTCAACAGCAACATAGTGTCGGCCCACATCTGGCACATGTGGATTCCACACGGCCCAGATCTGGGCCGACACTATTATGCTGTCTGGACTATACTAGTTTGCAAAAGTAGTTTTTTTAAATAATCTCCAATATTTAATGAACGATTCAATTGAGGCGGTCCTAGAGGCAAAGTTGCTCAGAATGAGGAGAAAGAGGCGTTTCTTTCGAATTGGCCTCTAGGCCCTCTAGGGCCCAGCGTTTTTCTTTCCAATCGGCCTCCGTTAACCTTGTCTGACAGCTGCTCGAACTTCATGGCCGATGGCGGCCGTGTTTTCTGAGATACGTGAATGTCCTTGTAGACAATCGCGGCACCTTGGACAAAGACACCCCATGCAGTTTTCAAGTCAATTGGATTGACTGTTGCGTAGCTATAGCCGTTTTCGTGTTTTTATTATTTTATTTTATAGCGCCACCAAGTGGCCAGTTGCCACATCTTTTTACACGCGACCACAGACCGAGCCCATACATAGGTGTACCGAGTTTAGTGAAATTAGGTGTATTCGACATCGGCTGCGGCTGAATGTAACCGATCGGCGAGAGTTGCCGCATGCGGACGGGGAGGAGCTGAAAACGTAGACGTGAAGTCGGACACTTTCTGCTTCCCGTAGTGACGTTCGCGCTGTGTTTGCATACTTTACCACAGATGAAGTGAAATAAATGCAATATTTGTCAAATACACAGATGTTTCAGAGACATTTTTATTAAATACTTTACACTTCTTAATACAGCATCTATTTGTACAAGAATAAAGTTCAACATAAGCCATACTATTTAAATACCAATGCCATTTTTTTTATCAGTTTTGTTTTGATAAACATGACGCAATGTAACATCGCGACTACATGAAAAGAGTTTTTACAGATTTGTGAGCATTAGTGGAACTGAAGGTGTTGGAATAAACACGAAACACACGTGACGTGATTGTTGTCTTGCGGTGAATCCGGCCAGTCGTGGAACAGAAGAGCTCGTGCAACAGCTCTTGAGAAGCTGCGCTAGCTGAGTCCTCGGTCTGCTCTCGAATCGCTCTCCTGGTGCCGACACTGTCTCATGTCTGACAAAATTTCTAACCGGCATGCACTGCTTCAATTCAGCCGACCGATCGGTCTGCACAGCGCTGCATGAAGTCGGACATGCCTATTATCTCATTTCATTCAAGAGGAATAGTCATTGTAGTGAAAGTGGCCATGCCCACTTCGAACGTTTAGGTGTCCCGTCGTGGACATGAATCGAAACTTAAACTTGATAATTATTGACAATCATACTCAAGAGAATCTTTCTGCACTGGTTTTGTTCCGATCGGCCAAAAACCTAGGACTATAGTTCGCAAACGTAGATTTTTTTTAAAAAATCCAAAATAATCGAAAATATTGCCAGGGTGGCTATCAAATCCAAGATGATTCCAATGATATAAGACACTTGAGCCTGCGATAAGCGGTTTAGGAGTTATGAGCCATTACGTACCTTTGATCGCTGTAGCGCCAACATCAGGCCGATTGGGGCGAGCCTTGGCAACTTTGTAGACAGGTTGTGTACTGCCAGCCCTCTGAAGTTTCAAGTCTCTACAACTTACGGTTTGGCCTGCCCGATCACTTTTAGGGGAGAATGCTGATTCTTGGAAATTATGTCATGGATAGCCATGCGTTTTATTGATTGAATTTCCCAGAATGCAGTAGGTTTTAAGTCAGTTCTTGAGGATGTGGTCTCTGTGTGCATGAATAGTCTACTCTTTTTACATAACATGCTATTATGACTGCCACTCTTTTTAAAATAAAACAAAGATCTGGTTATTGAGTCAGGGAACTTCAAAATACATCTGCTTCAAAAAAAAAAAAACAGTTACAGTAGATGTCCACAGTGAAATCTGGGATAAAGACCTGTTTTTAAGATTAGTGTCTTTTACATGTATTGGGTCCAGAGAAAAAATTCAGATGGCAACAAAAGCAGTGTTCCAGCACACAAATCCTTACCCTTATCATACTACATACTACCTCTGATAACCTCCTTTGAACCTGCAGTCAGGTCCATAAATTGCTCACACTGTCATTGTCCAGTGTCATTACTGTTAAACTACTAGAGAAATATGTGGAAGGCCATGTTAGAAGCTCTGATTATATCTTTGTTTGAATATGTATTTCTCTGCCACAACTAGATGCCTTTACATTTGTCATACAGTAATAACTCACAATGGATTTAATTGAAAGGTTGACTGTGAAGATAATCTTTTAAATGTGTTAGAATGGCTTGGACATATAGTATTAAGATATTTTTTATACTATCAGATATGCACTGAATGATAAGTAATCATAGGACGGTTCATCAAGTTCATCTGGGTGCTGCAAAGCTCAACCAAGTTGGGTTTGATAAATAGTTTCTGCCCATGTTACTTTAGTCTCTGGCACACTGATCTGTTAATGCATGTGTTTCACATTGAAGTTTAACACGTGCCTAGGTTTTTGTCCTGTAGTGTTAGGACAGTGACCGTCTTATCTAGTACCAGTGTGTGTGCGTTAGAGCGTGGAGTAGACGGGGTAAGGATTAGTCTTATGTAACCATTGTGTGTGTGTGTATTTATAGCAGCACTCTATTGTCCCTCTGTCTGTCTTGTCCTTACTCTGCTGTTGACAGCTGCATAAATAGGGTACAAAATTGTGTTTTCCATGTGAGTACCGGTATATATTATGTAAAAAATGATCATCTTTTATTGGAAAATTAAACAACATTTGTATCAAACTTTAATAGTTGCCTTAATCTTAAACAACTGAGAAGATCAAACTACTTTTTTTAAATATAATATAAATTATATCAGCTTACGAGAGTCAAATTGGATGACTAGGGACTCATTTCAAGATTACTCATTTAACAGTTCATCTATGAAAAAAGTTCAGTGAAGAATAGAAAATCATTGAAAACATTGAAATCGAGAATGTCAGAATCAGAATGCGTAGTTCGTGCATAAAAAATGCCAGTCAAAACCAACATATGTTGAACAATATTCACTAACCCAGCAAAGTTTTTCATTTGGATTGGCGCTTACCGCGCTTATTCTCTTTCACATGCGGTGTGAAGCTATTTCACTTAGTTGCTTGACCATTCTGATTCAATTTCAGCAAGTGAAGAACAAATTTATACTCAGGTGCGTTATGTATTACGTACGTTATCGCCTCTAAAAGACAGCATGTTGAAGCTGCTCAGGCATCCATATATATATATATATATATATATATATATATATATATAAACAATATACACCTGTGTATATATATATATATATAATGTACATACAGATACAGTCAATGAGATAAAGACAATGAGATTGCTTGCTCAACATTTAAATAGTCTAGTCTTGCAGGTAAGCTAGTCCTGCATTATCAGAGTTCCTCTGAAACCCTCCACCTCCCCCAGCTTCACCTGCCTAGATCTGCTACGGGATATATGTATGTATATTTATGCAACCGCCGCATATCTTACGTGCTCACAGCAGCGTGTCTGTGTATCTATTAACAGTAGCAAGTCCATACTTGCTCTGCAGCAGCAACAACAACAACAATCAACAGCAGCAGCAGCATAGCATATCAAGTTCACCTAGACCAAATACATTAACATTGCCATGTTCAAAAACATGCTAAAACTATTTAGAGTTGTCATGACTGATATGACCCCAGTATTTTTTGTTTAGAAACATTCATATTTTTATTCAGTTAGGATGTATTCAATTGATCAAAAGTGACAGTAAATACTTTTACAAGAATTATATTCCAAATACATGTTGTGTTTTTTTTTTTACTTTCTGTTTATCATAGAATCCTGAAAAGAAAAATGGATTACACAAAAATAATTGATCACCAGATCACCATAGTTAAGGATCATGTGACACTGAAGAATGGCACATTTATAGTGTGTAATGACATTTATGATGTATAAAGTTTTCAAATAAAAGCTTTATGTTCCTCAAAAGATCCTGAAGAAAAAATGTATCATGGTTTACACAAAAATATTAAGAAGCACAACTGATTTCAACATTGATAATAATAAGAAATGTTTCTTGAGCATCAAATCAGCATATTCGATTTCTGAAGGATCATGTGACACTGAAGACTGGAGTAATGATGCTGAAAATTCATCACATGAATTAATTACATTTTAAAATATATTAAAATAGAAAACCGGTATTATAAAATTGTATTATATTGCACAATACCACCATTTTTACTGTATTTTTGATTAAATAATGCAGGCATGGTGAGCAGAAGAGACTTTTCATTCAAAATTCTTATGATTTGATGTTTTGAACGGTACTGTGTGTACTATAAAACTATGTCCCCTCTCTCTCTCTCTCTCTCTCTCTCTCTCTCTCTCTCTCTCTCTCATGTCTTCTTCAGGCTCTGAACAGGGGCATCGCTTCTGTAAAAGAGGACAAGGTTGAGATGTTGGCCAGCTATGGTCTGGCATACTCGCTTATGAAGTTCTTCACTGGACCAATGAGTGACTTCAAAAATGTGGGACTCGTGTTTGTCAACAGTAAGAGGGAGAGAACCAAGGCGATCCTCTGCATGGCTGTGGCGGGGGTCATCGCCATCATTCTCCACATCCTCATTGGTGCGTCTCTTGTGGATACAATATCTCAAAGATCTCAGCAAAAGAACCACTGTAACTATAAAGTTTCATGTTGGTGACAAAGCAGCTGCTAATTTGTATAGTTTACTAGATTTCCTCAATTCAAAACCTGTTTTGAAAACTCTCATATTTTCCCAGCTTACACAGATCTGGGCTACTACATCATAAATAAGCTCCACCATGTGGATGATTCAGTTGGAAACAAGACGAGGAAGGCCTTTCTGTACCTCGCAGTATTTCCAATATTAGATGCAATGGTAAGTGTGAAGCATATTATAACCTTAATAAGTAATTCCAGATACAGCATCATCATTCTAAAGCCATATTTCAGACTTCTGGTGAAGTACAGGAAATACTAAATCATGTATTTGTTTGGGATAATAGACTATTTATAGCTCTACTTCTTGCTGCATGCTTAAAGGTGCAGTAAGCAATTTCTGAGAAACGCTGCTGAACGTACAGGTTGGACCGAGCACCAAAACACACTTGTAGCCAATCAGTAGCAGTAGGGGGCTTATACATTCATGATGGGGAAGGAGAGAGAGTGAGAAGAGGGAGATTGAAGAAAGACTGTAGAAAGAGAGATGCCTTAGAGACATTACATAAGAGAAATGATCAGAGGAATATCACTGGAAAAAGAAGGGCAAGAGCTTTAGGACCTGTGTTAATATTAGACCTGAAAACAGACGCAGAGGTTGCGTTGTTTCTGCTCCATCCATAAATGGGTAACATTGGTTTTGTTATGTTTCACAGAACCAAGATAGGCTGTTGTTGCTATGTTAGCTATAGTAACAGGACAGTTTTGAGTATCATTGTTTGTCTGGAGCTGGTGTTTTACTGGCAACTAACAACCAACTGTTGCTTTTATATGCTCTTGTGTACTGTATGTTAATTTTTTGTTCTTCCTTGTCATTCGTTTGTCATCTCCGCTATATTACATTGCATTTCATGCATTTTGGGGTGGAACAATGACAGACACTCAAGATGGCGCCGGTGTATGTGGCATGCCGTCTGACGTCTCTGCTTCTCTGTGCTATATTTGTGTTTTTATCTGCATCAAACTGCTACTCGCTTCTGGTCTATGATCGCCAGTTACTTCTGGATATTCGAGACTCTTTTGTGGCCACATATAACCCAGAGTTAAAAAGCTCTGTGGCTGGACCACAATCATGCTCTCCAAACTCTACTTGGGATATTCCAGAATATCTGTGCAGTTGGCCTCATGGGGTCCCCCGCAGAAAGCGCCGCAGGAGACGCGGCAAGCGTGGAGGGGTTGCTGTCAAACTGAAAATGACGCTACACGCCGGCCGCGCCCGCGCATCCAGCTTCATCTCCATGACGACGTAGGCGTTGGCCGATGTGCTGGTTGGCGTTTGCTCGATCCACCTGTTCGCTGGCTTCGGACCGTTCTCCCGGATTCTCCTTCGACGATCCCCTGTTACCCTCCTATCCGTGTTCGTCGCGGTGGAGCTACTCTAGAGAATCTTCGCTCTTTGAATAGAGTCTTCTCTCCTGCGATCTCTGACTCGGTATCACCTTCCAGGATGGCTCTGATTAATGCTCGGTCACTTGTCAATAAGACGTTCATTTTAAATGACTTTTTCACTACCCACGCATTGGATTTTATGTGTATCACAGAAACTTGGATGAAGGTTGGTGATTTAAGTCCTTTTGCTGAGTTGATTCCGGCAGGCTGCACATTCTTTAACTCTCCCCGCTCTTCTGGCCGTGGAGGTGGTCTAGCGGTAATTTTAAAAAACAGTTTTAATTGGACGATCCTGTTTTGTTAGCGCTGGTGTACCGCCCTCCTCACCTAGTGAAAGATTTTATAAGTGAATTTACTGCTTTTATGGGTGAATGTGTAACTAATTACAGCAATATTCTTCTGCTAGGGGACTTTAATATTCATGTGTGCTGTAAGTCAAAGCCTCTAACAATGGAGTTTAAATCTCATTGACTCATTTAACATGGTTCAGTCAGTGGGTGAAAAATCCCACACATACTCATGGACATACTTTGGACCTGGTACTCTCTCATGGCGTTTGCATTACTGATGTTCAGGTTTTTAACACTCTGATCTCTGATCATATGCCTGTACTGTTTTCTGTCCTTTCCTCCTATAAGATCGCACATTTCACCTACTGCACAATGGACTCGTTCCTTTTCTCCCTGTTTCCATGATGAATTCACTAACTCCTTTAATGAGGTGTGTCTGTCTCTGTCCCTGGAGTCACCCTTACCCGACTTGGATGCTGAAGAACATCTTAGTCTGTTTAATACTGTATGTTCCGAGGTTTTAAATACCACTGCTCCTTTAACAGCTAAGAAGTCAAAACCTAAGACTGAACCATGGCTCAATGATACCATCCGCTCTCTGAGGCAAGCATGTAAGAAGAGCAGAACGAAAATGGAAAAGTGATAAGCTACAAATTTCTTACGAAATGCTGAAAAATTCCCTTTGTGCTTTTCAGAAAGCTATGTTATCTGCTAAGTCTAAGTATTTTTCTAATTTAATTTAAAAAAAAACATCATAGTTCAAAAGCCTTATTTTCTGTGTTAAATTCTGCCCTAAATCCTCCTATAAATGTGATTTCAAATCCCTCAGTATCATTATGTGAAGGTTTCTCAAGGTTTTTCTGAGAAGATCACCTCTCTAAGATCTCAGTTGCAACCATCTGCTACTCACCTGAACTGAGTTGTTCTTCAGCCATATGGAGTGTCTTTGAACCAGTTTCTCTTCTGTCTCTCAGATAAATTGTTGATCATTTAAAACCTTCCTTCTGCTCTCTTGATGTTCTTTCTCCCCGTATCTTGAAACAAACTTTTGATTCAGTTGGAACATGTTTGGTGTCTTTTCTGAACAAATGCTTGAGCACAGGGACTATCCCTGATAGACTAAAACAAGCTACTGTTACACCTCTTCTCAAGAAACCTTCACTTGATGATAGGTTTTTTTCGACCTATTTTCGACCTATTTCGACCCTTCCTTTTATTACAAAAGCATTGGAGAAAACGGTTCTCAACCAACTCCAGTTTTTTCTTAGCTCAAATCAAATTCTTGAAACTTTCCAGTCTGGTTTTAAGCCTCTGCACAGCACTTAGTTTGCTTTATTAAGGGCTTCTAATGATGTACTGTTAGCGACTGACGCTGGTGACTCTGTGATCCTAATACTGTTAGACTTAACCTCTGCCTTTGATACAGTTGATCATAAAACTCTTTTATCCTGACTAGAATATTTGTGGGCATCCAGGGAACTGTCCTCAGTTGGTTTAGATCAGTGTTTCTCAACCTCTCCTGCAGGGACCCCCTGACAGGCCATGTTTCTGTTTTAACCCTGAAATGGCACACCTGATTCAAGTCATTAAAGGCTTAATGAGTAGTTGACTAATTGATTAATTGAACTATTCCTACTCTAATTACTCATTAAGCCTTTAATTACTTGAATCAGGTGTGCCATTTCAGAGTTAAAACAAAAACATGGCCTGTCAGGGGGTCCCTGCAGGAGAGGTTGAGAACCACTGGTTTAGATCGTATCTAACAAATAGAAGTTTCTCTGTCAAACTGGGTAATTTTTACTCCTCGCCAGCCCAACTCTCTTGTGGAGTGCCGCAGGGGTCTATTCTAGCACCCATTCTTTTTTCCATATATTTACTTCCTCTGGGCTTCATTTTCAGAAAGCATGGTGTATCATTTCACTGCTATGCAGATGATACACAATTTTATTTGCCTCTGAAACGCAACAAAGATACTGCTCTGAAATCTCTTTTTGCATGCCTAGAAGAAGTAAAAATGTGATTTTCTCAATTTCTTATTTTTTAATGAATCCAAAACCGAGGTTACATTGATCTGGATTATCTTTATTCAACTTCATCTTGCATTAAGAATTTAGGTGTTCTCTGGGATCAGAGGAACCTCAAATTTGAAAAACAAATAAATGCGGTGATTAGTTCTTGTTTTTTCCAGCTACATCTTCTCTCTAAGATCAAATCCTCTCTCTCTGAGAAAACCTTAGAGATTGCTGTCCATGCGCTCATTACATCGCGGTTGGATTATTGCAACTCTCTTTACTATGGCATACCCAAACACTCTATTGCTCGTCTCCAATTAGTACAGAATGCTGCGGCAAAGTTCCTCAAAAGAAAACGTAAATTTGATCATGTTTCACCTTAAAATCTTAAATCACTGCATTGGCTACCTGTGCATTTTAGAATTGAGTTTCAAATTCTTCTCTTTGTTTTTAAATCCGTAAATAATCTGGCACCGAGCTATTTGTCTGAGCTACTCTGTCCACACAATCCCACACGAAACCTGAGGTCTGGTGATCAGAGACTTTTGTCTGTCCCCAGATCACGGTTAAAGAATAGAGGAGACAGAGCATTTGCGTTTGCTGGCCCTAGGCTGTGGAACAGCCTTCCGGTTTATATCAGAGCGGCTCAATCTCTAACTGTTTTTAAATCCTCTCTTAAAACCCATTTTTTCTTTTGCTTTTAATTCATTGTGATATTTTGTCATGAATGTGTGGTTTGTCCTTGTTATTTATCTTGTCTATTGTTCAGCACTTTGGTCAGCCCTGTTTGCTGTTTTTAAATGTGCTATATAAATAAATACAAACTTGAAACTTGAACAATGAAGGGAGGGATGTGTTTGGGTTGATTTCAACAGCGTTGAATTTCAAATGCATTTCTCAGAAATAGCTTACTGCACCTTTAAAGGGTAATGTAAGGGATGTTAGGAATTAAGTAGGAATGCCTGGGCTTGATCACAGCAGGGGTGTCAGTTCCATTTGTTCACTTTATTTACCCATTGAAGCAGGTAGAACAGAGCAATTGAGCAGGGAATATAGGTGCGAGTGTGGTTTCTAGACAAAAACAGAAATACAAACTTCAATAAAGATAAATCATATTAAAATTACACAAGGAAAAGATGCACAATATAAACAAAGAAACAATGGGAAAGAAACTTGCATTTCTCATGAACACACTACAAAGATCAAGCAGCTCCAAAGTCAATCAATGCAGGCATTTATATATCAGGATCCATTAGCACACAGATGCAGTGATTGGTTAATTAGAGGGCATGTACAAATCAATAAACAGCTAAATAAAGAGAAATTAGGACTAGGCAAATGAAATTGGGGCATCTTACTGAGGCAAACCAGGAAAAGGATTGTATTGATTGAAAATAATAATCTTTAATACAGGTAAGTATTATATCATAGTATAGTACAGTGAATTTTTTTTAAATCAATTACTCACC